GATCCAGGAGCAAGAATCCCACTGGGAGGATGCGACGCAGCTCCTGCGGCTGCAGCACACAGCGGAGGACGCCGCGGCTGGACACAGGGCTTACTTCCCTGCAACCTGGAAGTTACCAAGTGCCACCAAGACGCGCTCCTCGGCAACGACCGCGGCCCTCTCCTCAAATACTGCGCGAAGCCTTTCTGATGGCGCTTTCGCCCACAGACATTCAGCCCTGCCCTGAATTGGTGGAGCAATAGCCTGCTTGCTTCGCTAGGCGACGCAAGATTGCCCCTGCTGAATCACCTTCGCCTTTACTTGGACTTTATCGTCCTGCGAACTGGCCTTCACGAGGGCTCGGTACATTTTGCCCGCCTTTTGACACTGTGTACGTTTGCCATTTCCTATGCAAACCAGAGCCAGGTCTTTACGGTGAACAGCCTGGCCAAGTTCGCCTCCGCATTTGACTGGAGCAAACCTACAGCCTACTTTCATGACCAGGCTGCAGGTCGCCATTCAGCCAGAGGCCTTCTGACAGCTGCCAGTGATCCTAACTTCAAGAACTTTGCTATGCAGCACCGCTGGCATGAGCCTTCGGAAACCGCCTTAGTCTCGCTGTTGCACGCCTGCGCTGCTCCCAAAACAATCAGCCATTTGAATGCTGTTTTGTCCAGCCTTGAAGACCTTGAATTCATCATTGCGCGCCTTCATACGGCATTGCCCGCATTGCCAGCCTTGGAGACGCACGCTGCTCACAGAACTAAAAAGAGCAGTCTTGCGCATCGGTTAATACCCACATTGACCTTCAGTGTCAGCTGGCTAACTCAGGCACATTCTGCCGCAGCCTTGGTGCAGCATGTGTGTCACTCTCATGCCAAATCTACAGCTGCCCTGGATTGGCAGGTTTGACAGGCTCGTGCGCGCCTCCAGCAGCCCTGTCATCACGCGCCCCAGACGCACTCGTTTTGCCGCCATTGCTTTGTGTTCGCAGCCATTTAGCAGTGTGCTAACACGCCACACTCCTGCCTGGCCCCACTCTTTTGCCCTGCCGGACCAGGTGCCTTCATCAGTGCCAGACCTGATGCGCATAGTCTCCAGCATGACAGAAGAGAACCAAGCCGCCTTAACTGCCATGCTCTCAGCCCTGCGTGATTGGACGGCCTTGAGATCCTTGTCGCCTTTGCCAGAAGCTGCCCTTCCCACTGATGAGTCTTCAACCTTGCCGCCTGAAAGGGCATCCACGCAAGAGCTTCCAGAGCCCTGCACAGAAGAGCCGCTTAGTGAAGCCCTGCCGGCAAACCCGGAAACCGTCCCAACCAAAACACCCAAGCCGAGACCTTCGCCTTCGGACCCGCAGTGGCCAACCGCACCAGACTTAGCCCGACTTGCAGCATTTGGGCCTTTCACCGGACACGCCTCTGTACGCGTGGGACGGCAGCTGGTGGATGAACTACTACGACCTGCCCTTCAGTAGCCCTCCTACGTGTGCCACGCGCATTAGCCAAAACCATCACGTTTTCAGCATTGACTCCTGCTGGAAACGCAATGAACGGCAGTCTTACCGCAAGCCCTCGCAGCCCTGGCCAAAGCCCGCCCAGCCGCAGGAAAACACACGCGCCATTGCCCAGCTGGAGCAATGTGCGCAACTCCCCGCCATGCGTTTGCCTTGCACTGTGAAGGCTGCGCGGGTAGGCGGGGTCGCCAAAGCGTGGTACCTGGATGACCAATCCAGGTTGTGCTGCGCATTGCCTTGTGCGTCATTGCCCTGCCCGACCCACTCTGCCTGCGGCCGCATCATCAATGACAGGATTCCCCTGTTCGAGGATACGCGCACCTTGCACTACTGCAGCCGGTGCTATGAAGCCTTGCACTCACTTCAGTTTATGCAAACAAGGGGAAGGTAATCAGTGTAGCCCTCTGCTTTGTTGCACCCACTGCGCAACATGTGCACACCGACGCATTGCGCTGGCCCTCATCATGACCGACCCGCTACAGCAGTTGCAACGGAAAAAGCAGTAACCACGTGTGCGCTGCCCGCTGGCCCAGCCTTTGCAGCCTGCGCAGTGATACTCCCCTGCACAGGTACACCAATGAGCCTTCAGGTCAGCATCTTAGAGGGTCGCCTGTACGCCTGCGACCCACTTGCCCTGCATGCATTTAGGCTCGATGCCTTATCGTAGTAAGAAATTCTGGGGGAGAGCATTTTCATGGCCTTTCAGAAGAAATGGCAGAAGACCACCCGGCCTTCCGCCCTGCAAATGCCACCGATGCTACGTCGCCGGGCACTGCCAAAGCCAAACCGCAGCCAGGCCCTCGCACATTGACCACAGCAGCCGGGCAAGACCTTACCCTGTGCAGCCCAATTCCGGAACGCATTCCATTGAGGTCCTGGGTGACCCTTATTCCTGCCCCCTGCCCAAGCCGCCTTGCAGACCTTGGCCTCGCAGCCTAGCCTTGCTGACACACACAAGTCAGGACTGCGCAAGTCAGGCCCGGCCCCTGCACAGCCTACCAATTGCAGTGATCCCCTCACGACGCGTGTTCAGTGCCAGACCTGCTTTGCCCAGGCCACACGGCCCTGTCGCCCGCCCGAGCCTTCGTCGCAGTTACAGGCCACGCTGAAGGACAAGTGCACCGCCCAATGGGTTTTGATACTCAAATCGTGCGTTGCTGGCAGCCTGCTAGCGCAAGCCCTGGAAGCCTCGCAACACCCGCGCGTCCTTGTCGAAGCATCGCTGCGCAAGTTCTCGGGGGGCACGCTGTCACGAGCTATCCGCCTTTTTCTCACCTTTGTGAATCAGTGTGTGGGGAATTTCCTTCGCCTTACCCTAGCCCATCTGTCAGATTTCATCGCAGGTTGCCATGTGTCACAAGCAGAGGACCGCGCTGCACTCAAGTGCAGCGCAATCATGATGAGTAAAGCCCTGTCCTGGTTTGCGCGCGTTGGACAGGTACCAAGCCTGCTGGATTTGATGGGCAGCCCCTTAATCCCAACGCACGTTCCGGGAAGGAACAATGATTGGGCTGAGAGTCGCGTACGCTTCAGCCCTGCGAGCCTTGCACTGTCAGGCAGAGGCGTCCGATTATTGATGCGCCCTGGCGCCAGCTGCCTCCAGCAGCGCGTAGCCAATCCTTTCTGCGTCCCAACACGCATTGCGGCACAATAGCCAACATCGCCCTGGCAACCAGAATACCTGGCTGCGTCGGCCAGCAGCATCAAGCCGCTTTGACCAAAAAAGAGCGGTCCCTGAGCAACAGGATGCTCACGACCAAGCGAGTGCAATGTCATGCGACGCTTGCCCTGCCAGGTACAACCCCACTCTGAAGGGGGGGTGATGAGGCCGGCGGCCCAGCTATACCGGGGTTGCCTGAAACACTGAAGGGGGGGTCAGCGCACCTCCTGCTCCAGGCGCATCCGTGCCCTGGAAGCAGTGCTACTTTCAGCAATCCCGGTTAAAAGAACTGCGGCCGCTTCGGACTTGCTTTGTTCTTTTGGGTGGTCTGGTTTGGGTTCAAGATAGGAGCAGTGCAACATGCCTTAACGCTTAGGGTTTTCTTTTCCCTTGTGTTTAGGGCATGTTGTGAATCTACCTACGCGGTGGCCGTTTTGCTCCTAGCCTTGACCCAAACTTGCTGTTTCATTTGAAATCCACCCACCCCCCCTGCACTGCCTTGTGCAAGGCTCTGCAATGGGAAGTTGCAGACGCTCTGCACTTCCGTTCATGGTCTCCGGACCTCTCGGTCTCCGGACCGCTCACGGTCTCAGGACCACTAGGTCTCCGGACCGGCGTGGGCACGCCTGCCACGCCATGCACGCACTGCACGCATTTGCAAGGACCTTTAAGTTTCACGGGGGGTCAACGCACCTCCTGCTCCAGGCGCATCCGTGCCCTGGAAGCAGTGCTACTTTCAGCAATCCCGGTTAAAAGAACTGCGGCCGCTTCGGACTTGCTTTGTTTTTTTGGGTGGTCTGGTTTGGGTTCAAGATAGGAGCAGTGCAACATGCCTTAACATGCCAATCAATCATGACGGCAAGAGACCCCAAATAGACGACGGGTGGAGCGGACATATAGAAAATGTTAAATGGACCCTGACATCTCTCCCACCTGCTCGTGAGTCTGATTGCTTCTCGGGTCTTGTGGGCAGGGGGGGGGGAATGCAAATCCTATTGTGGTAATTTCGGGCTTGTTCTTGGCGTTTTGCAGTCCCTTGTTTCGTTGCTGATTGCCAACACCTATTTGCGTGGCCCATTCCAGAGCAAGGCTGGTGCACGAACGAGCTGATTCCATACATGCTGGCGGCATTTTGTGCCCAAACTTGGTCAAGGCCTGTGTAGAAAGCCGAACAGGCCAGCGCTGCCGGAGACTGCCTTCAACTTATTTTCTGCACAGCCAGCATGGTGCGTGAAACACAGCAGATGAGACGCCATGCAGTGTGTGGTTCGGAAAGGCTACCACCTTTGCTATTGCTTTTGATTACCGCCAGGTCTCCATCATGCCGTGGCCAAAAGCTGCCCGAAGACTGGCAGCTTTTGCTGCAGTGACAGTGACAGCCGCGGCCCTAGTTTTATTGCTTGCATTCTCACAGGGAATCGCAGTCACTGGGTAACATGGGTAAGGAGTTCAGATTACTCTGCTCAGGCGGTGGCCCATGAAGATTTGGACCACTGGTTGGTTAGGCCTGGACCATAATCCATGACTACAAGGTTGTTTCGTGACTGAATCTGGATGCAGTTGCTCTCCCGACTGCAATGGGTTCAACCAATGCGCAGAGGCCAGTTTTGGCTTCCTTTTGCAGCATGCACAAAAGGGCCATTCCATGATTGCTTTGCATGCGTGCTTGATTGATGTTTTGTTCGTCCATAGCTGTATTGACAGTGCTCATGAAGCAACAGATTGACACATGGATTTGGCTAGACACTTATGAGTGTTATGGGAACAGAGCCTATCAAGTGCACGGCGCAAACCCTATCCAAATTGCCCTCTGCCCACGAAACATTAGGCGTGCCGTGACCCGCCATGGTGTGGGACAAAGGGACGCACCCCTCTCGCCTTCGCGAGGTTTGTCAAGACATTGATCACTTCTTGGACCATTCCCTGGACCTGAACCCACAGGAGAAGAGCCAAAGCACTGAGTCTAAACCTGCTTCAGGATCCATATCGCTGAGAGGGCCGTCTTTGGAAGTGCAAAGGCTGTTCAGCTTGAATCAATGCTTGCAGCAAGAGGTAGAAGAGATGCGCCGGGCCATGAGAGAATCTCCATGCCCTGCTGCCATTGGCCAAGACTCGCAGGATTGCCGCAAAAAGAGACGGGTCAGTGAGGTGGAGGATGAGCTGGCTCAGTTGCGGCGGGAGAAAGATGCGTTGGCGTTGGATCTGCAAGAGACCAGGGAGCGTTGCCAGCGCGAGCTGAAGGCAGTCCAGCTATCTTCTGAGGAGTACCGGAGAGACTGCCAGCAAAAGGAGAGCATCATTGCCAGGTTGGAGTCTCAAATTGACGCAAGGCTGCCACCTCCGCATCCTCAGAACGAGCCAGTTCGCGACTCACGAACTGCAGAGCTGGAGGAAGAAGTGCTTGCTCTTCGAATGCTTCTCAAAGAATGGTGCCCAGAGCATGGCCTGGCTTCACAGTTGCGCTCAAAGCATCTTGTTCTGGAGAAACAATTGCACGAATCCCAAGCTGCTGAGAAAGAATTGGCCTTGGCTCGTCAGAAGGCTTTGACCCTGGAGCAGGAGAATGCATCTTTCAGGGCGGCTCTGGAGGTCAGTGAGCTCGCATTGAAGGACTTGAAGGGCACAGCAACGGAATGCACAAGTGCCCGAAAAGACCTGGCTGGCCATCAAGGTGTTGCGGCTGAAATCATTCAAGCGGCCCAGTCATTGTTTGATTTTGAAGCAGCAGAACCAACGCCGATGAATTTGAGGCTTGCATGGTCTCAGCTTCAATCAAGCTGGGCAAAAGACACGCACAGGAATATGCAGCTGCAACGCCAGCTTGATGCTGCGGCAGAGCAACACAAGAAAATGCAAGCAGAGGTGAGCAAGCTTCGGGCTGAGATGCATTGTGAAGAAACTCAGCAGAGAGAGGCCAAGCGAAAGCTCCAAGAATCCAACGATGCAATTCAAAACTTGAGCGCGCAGAACTCAGTGCTGCGTGATGCGCTTGCAGGAAAGGGTGAAAACCCCCCTCCCAGCAGTGTTATGGAATCTGTGCAGCAAATCCAGACAAGCGCCTCAGAAGGGAGTTCACAAGCCGTTGACGCTTTGAAGAAGGATGTCCAATCACTTCGCGCTGAAGTCTGCAGGCTGCTGGATGTGGAAAGCAAGGCAAAGAAATTGGAAAGAGTGAATGCAGAGTTGTGGCAAGCAAACAAGGAGCTTGAAAAGAAGACCATGGAAAAGGATGAACCGGATGAAGTGGGCACAGTGGGCATGGGCACAGGTGACTTTGACTCTCGAAGCACCAAAGTACTACACCTTCTGCGAGGGCCGTTAGGCCAGGGCTGGCAAGGCTCGAGGTGCGAGCTCAGCTCGCAATTGCAAGCCGGAAGCGGAGATTTGGAGCAGCAGCAGGCTGCTCGCCAGCTGGAGCGCTACAAGAAGGCCATGAAGAAGTACGTGCAGGAATTCAGAGAGGGCCTCTATCATTTGTTAGGATGGAAAGTTGAGATGAGAGGTGATGGAACTTCTCTAAGATGGCATCTTACTTCACGATATCAAGAAGGTCAGGAGTTGGTTTTCCAGCTAAGGCCTGCCCAGACCGGTCTGCCGGCTGAATTTGATTTGCTAGGAACGCCTTGGGCGGAACAGCTACAGAGCGACCGCCAAGCAATGGCATATTTGGAAGTCTACAGCTCGATTCCGGGCTTTCTGGCTCATGTGACCGCAGACCGCCTAGCACAGCAAACGTTCACACGATAATGCCGAATGTCACTTACCATGAGCGAAGGCAAAAGACAGCTCTCGTGCATGAGCGACTTGACCAAAGCTGTTGCGTTCAAGATGCCAATGCGGTATCATGCATGTTTCATTGCCCTTTTGTAGCCCTCCAGGTTTGTGCGGGCAAGCAGATGCAGCAGCACGCATGCCACTATCAGGCGAATTCTTGCGCTGTCCTTTGCTCAGACATTGAGAAGCATCAGGCAGACTGCCCTTCGACAAACACCTACTGCCCTGACGGAGCAGAGCCTAGACCTTGTGTGTGCGGTGCTTAGCTTTTGGAGTTTGGAAGTGAATGCAAGCGACTCGTTAAATGCTCGAGGTTTTCGGACTGGTCGGAATGGTCGCCACCTGTTGGATGCACAGGTATTTGTACCAGGACACCTGTGCGACTCACAGCATGTGAGATCTCTGTGCCCTCCATTGCTTAGAGCTGAAATTACTCGAACCATAGCCTGCCATCCCCACAAGCAAAGGTCTACGACTGGCAAAGGGCAAGACATGAGCCAAGTCCGATGTGTGCATTTTGTGCGGTGAGGTTGTTGGATTTGCAGTATCATTGGTTTTCCATGCAAATGATGTGTACATAATAAGGTTGCGGAAACGAGATGGAGCCCCAGAAACGCAACTGCACACTTTCGGGTCATCCTGTGTGTGGCAACGAGTTTGCATATAGTATGATTTCTGTTGTGACTCGTGACGCAAGGACACGCGTTATCAGTCAGCAAAATAGCTGTGGCGGCGCCGCATGCGAGTGCCTTTCCCAGTTCCAATCGTGTGCATGTAGTGGTGAAGTTGCTTTTGTCGCGCAGGGGACCCCTGCATGATTCTGATTTCTGTGACGGTGCCGCCTCCTGCAGCGATGGTCCTCAGGACGGGGTTGGTTTTGCTCGCATTTATCCATTGGATGGTTTATGGAAGGACTGTGAACTTGGCCCTTGGGGCGCATGGTCGGCCTGCAACGCAAATGTCACATATCAGAGGCTCGGGAAAGTCTGCAAGGTTTGTTTTGATGCAAAAGTGATATGAATCGGGTGCGTCGGGTGCAGGGAGAGAAGACGAGGGGTTTCTGTGCTGCCTGCCCGGAGCTCACCTTGCGACCGAATTACCTTACTTTGCATTCCCATGAGGCTCGAGGGGGCTCTGAATGTGACGGAGCTCTTCTGGAGACCCAGGCAAGTGTCGGCCACAAAGCATGCACACCTCAAGTGGCTCAAAACAAAAGACACTCCGGGGCAGTGTTTGGGCTCTTGCTTGGTTTCCTCCCAATCCAACCAGCATCGGTTCTGATTGAAGGACTGTGGCTCGACTGCAGCTGAGAGTACGGACTGTGAGTTGTCTCCGCGCTGCTGGCCTGTTTTGACTGTAGAGTCTTCTAGAGGTAGCAACTTGGTGAGGGATGGATGCTCCCTGCCTTTGCAGGTGGATGGAGTGGAGCCCTTGCACTAAGACGCTCGTCACTCAGAGTGTTTGCGTGGACGATCTCCTCTCGCAACCTGCGAGGTGTGCTGGTGGCCAAAGGGGGCGGCTGCGGACCATTGAAAGACATGTGGCTTGGAATCAGAAGAATCGCGGGTGCTGGAATCCAATTTGGCGTTGAGTTCCAGCTGCAGGCACAAAATGGCGGCAGGCCTGTGCTTTGCGCTTTGCAACTGGCCTTGATCATTTGCAGTCCAAACTGATTTTGCAGGCACTGTGCTGACACACTTGGGGAGACAGCCCCTTGCAACACAGGCATCCTGGCAGATGACTTTGCGTCGTGTCTGTTCATTGATGTGCATGTTTTGGTGAGCTCAGGCTCTTGCGGATCTGAAGATGGTCCTTCAGATTGTGCATTGGGAGACTGGAGCGCGGTGAGCAACTTTTGATTCAAAACACTGACATTGCTTGCACAGTGCTGTAATGACAAATGGGCCCACCGTTTTCCACTTTGGGAGGTTTGCACGTTTGACCAACTACCGCAGCCTCAGTTAGCGACAAAAGGTCCCGTGGCCGCCATAGGATTGTCACCCCCTCTTAGGTCTTCATCGGTGGGCCCCTTGAGTCGATGTGGCTCGGTGCTATTTTCAGTTCTTCATGTTGACCCCGCAATCCATGCATCTCTGCCCTTGTGTGCGCTCTTCGGTGTTGTTCCTCACAATCATTTTCTCCTGGTTTGTGTAAAGCTGAATGTCATTTGAGTAATTATTTGCTTTGGCAGAATGGGCGGGGTTCTGGTTTGGCAGTTGCCGCCATATGTCCCAGTTCAGTGACATTCTTGGGCAGCTTCTCAAGCTTGGGTATGCACGTGACCTATGTGACCTATGTGACCTATGTGACCTAGGTGACCTATGTGACCTATGTGACCTATGTGACCTATGTGACCTATGTGACCTATGTGACCTCCGTGTGTCTGACCGCCAGGAGTGCTTGGAGCTCCTGCACTGTCGCTGAAGAGAAGCATCGCTCCAGTCTGGCCCAGACGTTCCATGAAAATGTCTCGAATATCCTGATCCTAAGGAGAGATCATCCAAAGCGCGTCGCAGGATGGCAAGGTCACGGGCACACGGGCACGCAAAGCAAGCACGCAAGCAAGCACACGAGCAAGCAGAAGCCGAACGATTCGGACTGCCAGGCTTGTACCGGCTCAGTTCTGGAGGTTCTGGCGTTGCGGTCTCAGGAATGCAAAGGAGTTTCGGAAGAATAGGCGTTTGCTGATTTCGCCCATTGCCTCAGGTGCTCTCAAGGGTCCACCCCGAAGTCAGCGACAAACTGCTCCCTTAGCGTGTGGTCAGCCACTTGTGAATTGTGCCAGGGCAGGTCTCCTTTCTGAAAACCTAGGTCTGAGTGGCAGCTTTGTGACCGTTCTTGCGGAGGTGGCCAAACCATCAGGCACAAACGCACATGAGCCTCAAAGCTTGACAGTGCATTGCTGGCCATTGCTGGCATTACCATGGTGCCTATTTCAGGAGCCGCAGCATTGCGATGGAAGCAGCAGCTGGCGGGGCTCTCTGCAGCGGGGCCCTGCAGGACAGCCGCCCATTGGCTTTTAGCTCTTATCACAGGCCCACATGCTGGACTGTTCATGTTGCAGTCTGCTCCAGGAAACGGCTTCGTGCAATACTGTTGACTGCAGCCTCTACCATCAACCTTGTCGACCTTCAGCATGGCCCGCTGCTCAAGTGTCAGCCACAACGTGAGCAACATTTGCATCCGAGGTCAGACTGGGGCACATGTTCATGCTCTCCAGGAAGTGCTACCCGAACTCGGACCTATAGCCAGGCTTTCAATGGTTTTGGCAGGTCAGATTGTAATTTGACAAGATATATCACAGGCTGACTTGGGCGGACAAGCTTGTGATTTGGTCCTCTCGGAAACCAAGCCGTGCGCGAACACCGCAAACGAGGCCACTTGGCTGCTTGTTGCTCGTCTTAGATCTCGCTGTGTTTGCTTTCTGCTTTCTTGTTCAGGCCTGGCAACAATGCGAAGTTCAGGATTGCACAATTAGTCCTTGGCACGCGTCCAAGCAGAAGCAATCCTCAGAGTGGGATGTTTGTGCCCTCTGGAGTTGAGGTCAGAGTGGAGAGATTGCACCAAAACGTGCACTGGTGGTATGACAGAGTCGGTGACTTCAGACATATGTTTTTTTTCAAGCACTGAACTCTTCAACGGTTGAGGCGCGATCGCCATGTCGTACAACACGCAACTGTCGGTGGCAAGCCGTGCAACTTCGAGCAAAACCATTTGCTGGAGGCGGGCCGTGAGCTGTCTGCAACGAATGGCCTCTCAAGCTACGGCTCCAGTGGGTCCAGGTGAAGTCCTGTGGAGAGGGAGCCTGCAACGTGGAGTCCAACTGCCAAGACGGCGAGTGGGGTGACTGGGAAGGCGCAGCTCAACTCCCGGAGCATGAGACAATGCATGAGTCAATGCAGTCAATGAGAGCTGACGAGCTGATCACCAGGGTGGTCAGAGTGCACAAAGACTTGCCGCGGCGGTTTCCGCTTGGCACAGAGAAGGCAGGACAGAATTGTGGCAGGCTTTGCGCATATTTGACTTTGAGTGGCATCTTTGCCAGGGTGATCCAAGAGGCCAACGCTTGTGGCAAACCAGCAGAGGGTGTGGCGACCAAAATTGAGAGGCAGGGACTGAGAAGTGTCATGATAGGCATCCAAACAGGTCTTTCTGACACTCCTCTGTCTTGATTAGCCAATTAGCACATGTGGTGGCCTTAGACTTGTCCCAATGCCAGTTGCAACGACGGACTCATTTGCAGCGGTGCGGTGGATTGCGAGCTGACTGAGTGGTCAGAGACCTACCCTGCTGCAAAGATCTTGCAGATCATGCAGGCAATTAAGACTGGCAAACTGTCTCCGCCAATTAAGGAGTGATTGGTCAGCTTGCCATGCTCCTTGCACTGGGATGCGAGAGAGGAGCAGAGGTATCAAGGTGGGATATGCTTTTTTTGATCTTTTGGTTAGTGTGAGAAGTGCTGCAAGCAGGTGCATCCTCTGAACGGCGGAGTGCCTTGTGGTTCCGAAGACAAGGCACTGAGCCTGTTGAGCTCAGTTTGCCAACATGCCTGGCATTTCTGGGCAGGCTACAAGCCTGTCGCAGATGGAACACTGTCCAGCAGATCCAGGACTCATGAGTGAATCACCACGATATTCTGCTGGGCATACACTATTCACAAATACACAATCTGACGCTGTCGAAGAGGCACTACCTGTGATACTCCCGATCCAGATGGCTGCAATTTCAGCATCGACCTTAGAATCAGACCTTCTGCAGGCTGCATTACATGCCCATACACATTTGTGACATTTATGGTATGAATGGATGCTGTAACATGTATACTGTACATACGCATTTGGAAAGATGCGTGTATGTCCGTGGTGACGGGGAGGGGATGTGAATGATGTAAGGTGATGTGGTGTGACGTAACATAATTATGTAATTGTGTAATTATGTCAATATGTTGTCGTGTGACGTGGTCAACTAGATGCCGGTGTAGGTTTGGTGTCCGGTCCTGTATCACTCCGTGAATATGAGGAAGGAAGTGATGTGGGCCACTGCTTGTGTGGCTTGTGCGTTTATGGGCCGCCTGATTGATAAATATATCTTTTTGCAAGCCTGGCGTGCGGTTAGCCATTGGACTGACATTATGACTGTTTACAGATATGGTCTTGTGCTATTCCTGCGTTACGCTTCCCAAGCTCAAACACATTCGTGAGCACAAGCTTGGAAAACTGTATGGTTGTACAAGTTGGGAGTCGCCGGGAAAACGGAGGGTCCAGTAGTGGTAAGAACGGAAGTGAGGAGTTGGTGGGAGGAATGATGCGTGAGCCAGGTTGGGCTAGGCTGCAGGTCCGACTGGATGGGCTTCAAACTGAACCGGGCTGAGCCGGAGGATTGGGATAGCGGGCCCGGGTTCAATACAAAGCCTTAAATACAACACAAACCATGCCTATGACAGGCAGGGGGCTGCGTGGGTCTGAGCCGAGCCTTTGCCATCCGCCGTAGGGAGTCGAACTGAGAATGGACTGGAGTAGAGTGAGGAGAGTGGGCTGGGGACGAGGTATTGCTGAGAGAAGAGAGGCGGTCATCCCAACCCTAGTATCTAGCCCTGCAACAATGAGAAGATGCAGCATGAAAGATGAAGCACAAGGAGATGGCAGTTGGTCAGGTGCCCCTCCATCATAGTCGGTACACAGCTGAACTGTGTGAGATAAGATGAGTGGAGGTGTGATGTGAGGGGCGGGTTCGAGCTGTGGTGCGGGGCTGGTGTGCAAGGGCTGGTGGGAAGGGAAGTTGGGTGCCGAGGGAGCACCAAAGTGTCAACGAGGTACGAGAGAGCCGAGTTGCTAAGATCTGCAACAGAATGCTGAGGCAGAGACGTGTTCTCGGATTTCTTTGCTGTAAAGTCAATGTCTCGCGTTGTTTTGGCTGCTAGGTTCCCAGGCTGGTTGGGAATCCTTGTGAAAGGGGTAGGCATGCAGGATTCCTAAACAAGTTAGAGAAAGGAATACACTACTCGCGATTTGCAAGAGGGCCCAGCTTGTCTGTGCTTGTTGAGTCCATTCCACATCAAGCACCGGTGATGAGCTTGAATTGATGTGTGCTATGCAGAAATGCTGGAAGCAACAGCCGCATGGGGGTTTGCATGGTCAGGTACTGGTACCCCACGGAAAGTGTTGACTGCGGAACGTCTGAGTGTTGACCATGATGAGCCACTGAACAAGAGTGAGCTGCTTTTGTTCGCACGCGCCCACGCTGGGCTGTGATTGCTTTGTATTGACACTTAGGCACGTGGTCTTCTTGGTCTGAATGCTCTGTCAGTTGTGACGGTGGCCAGATGTCGCGCAGTCGTGAGGCTTGTGCACAATTGCATGTTTCTTGTGCTGGTCATGCTTGTCAGATTTGAGGTCCTGGCTGGTGCAGATGGTTCCTGGTACCCTTGTGAGGAGATTCTTGCTTTTGAAAGCAGCCACAATGTGCAGAGCGCTGAGTGCCAGGGGGAGACATCGGAACTGGCCCCCTGCAGCACCCAGAGCTGTGGCAGCAAGGCAAACGGCGCTTGTGTGATTTTGACCAGGGCGGTACCCATGTTTCGGTGCCCATTCGCCAGGTTGATTGCGAGTATGGTGACTGGAGCGAGTGGGGAAACTGCACCAAGCGCTCTTGTCGCACGTAGCAAACACATCGTCCAAGTTCTACATATCAGTTCAGCCTTTTGCTTGTGTTTATGTGCAAAACGTTGATAGACTTTTACTCTTCTGCCGAGCCTGAGGTGCGGTGGGCAAGCTTTCCGCTCGAGGACAATCATGCAGCAGCCCTCGTCCATGGCTTGTGGCAAAGGCCATCGCTTCTCTTGCTGCTTTCGCTTCTTATCAAAGGTTTGGCGGCCTGGAGTGCGAGGCGTCCGAAACCATGCAGACTGAGAGGCCTGGCAAGTTGACGTTTGCGATCTGCTGCCGACTAGCATGTTTGTTTGACCAGCAGAGGTGTGCTCGAGAATGCGGGGAGCCAGTCTATTGGTGCGTATGGGGCAACTGGTCAAACTTTTCCTCCTGTACGAAGGCCGGATTTGTTTGCTTTTGCTCTCCTTTGATGCTGTTGGTGCAGATTTGGCATCATGCGGCCAATGTTGCCAGACTTGCGGGGTTGGCATTCACTTCCGCAAGCGCATGCTCTCGATGACGGACTGCATTAGTAGCCTGCCATGGGGGACCATGCCATATTCAGAACAACCAGACCACCACATTCATCACGAGGACAAAGAGCCATCACATCCATTGGCGGTGGCATCTTCTGAGAAGGCACGGCCGGATTAGAGTTTTTCTAAAAGGTGACTGTCACTCAAACACATGCAATGTTATAAATGTTCTATGCCAGCTCGCCACCAAGCACTTGTCTTTGAGATTTGATGCGGATTTCATTGCGGGTGATGCGCTCAATTGGAGTGGGCAGATGTGATCGGTACCGTAAGTCCTGAGGAAGAATCAATGGACTCTTGATTGAACATTTGAAGGTCTGCAGTGTTTCGCAGTAACAACACGCGTACCATATTCGAGCGACAAGCTGCACGCAAGTCGTGCACTGCTCATACACGTCATCACACTCAATCCTCATTGTGCTTTCTACATGTCCAGAATGTTTTCCGGGACCTCGGGATGCAACTCGTGGTTGGTGGGACTGCGTTGACAGTGAGTTTGCGGTTGGAATGCGTCGCTGGGAGGCAATGTTACGGGGAAGTTGTCGTCAAGAGGGATGAATGCGGGGAGAGTTGTTTGTCACAGCGCAGCACACTTCAAAGGTCTCAACATGGATTATGACTCGTGAAATCCTACTTTGTCTTTGCCTTGGCTCTCGCAGCCAGTAGTGAGGAAACGGGCGCCTGAGACATACTCCGCCAATTGCCAAGGGCCCCTTGTTTTTGGAATGCTAGCTGCTAAACGATGGCTGCTCAACTTGCCTTCAGCCGCCATTCTGCTCAGGATTGCTCCGGCGAAATGGTTGACATCCAGCAGTTTGGCGCTCGGATACGCCTGAGACTCGAGCCAAACCCGCAGAGTGAAGTATCAGGTGTCCAACATTGCCGCAATGTGACGCTTGCACGCCAAAGGAGTTCAAGAGTCTGAACATGCCAGACTGACAATGTCATGACTGAATTATGTTTTGCAGGACTGCGTACTTGGAGATTGGTCTGACTGGAGTTCTCCTTTGTGTGAGGCAATTGCGGGAATTGAGAGGCAATTTGCCTCTGTTGCTATTGGAGAGTGCCAGGGCATTTGCACTCGCAGTCGACAAGTACTCACACCCAACAACGAGTGCGGCAAGCCTTGCGAGGGGTCTGAAGCCTAGAGACCTGCATAACTCCGTGAATCTTGGTAGTCCCACAACCGAAATGCGGACCTAAGCAAATGCCACAATTCGGAAGGACTCTCAACAGCACCAAGCCCTGCAATGCAGACTGCCACCGAGAGGACTGTGTTGACTCAGCAACTGCATTCTTGGTGTTCGCATGGATTGCATCTTCTTTTGGGTAGGACTGTGAGCTGGGCGAGTGGAGTGTCTGGACTGCATGTGCATCCGCGTTGGACAACAAGTGCGCCTTGAAACAGCAAGAAAAGTCGGATAATTACATGACAGTACATATTCACATATTGTTCCTTAGAACATTTTCTTGCGCAGTAAGCAGATCACATACACTTGGAAGCACTCAGAGAAATGCCCTTGTGCATACTTGCAGACACACACACACACACACACACACACACACACACACACACACACACACACACACACACACACACACACACACACACACACACACACAC